GTTAACCCATACTTTTGCCAAAAAAATGCCAATTTTATTTTTAATTTAAATTTGATCAAAATAAGCCTAGAAATAATGCTTTCCCACTTTGCAGAGAAAAAAGAAACGTTTTTGACCTTAAAAAACAGAATTTTTCAAAGTTCAAAAAAACGCACTTTTTCAAAGGGGTTAACCCATGCTTTTGGTCAAAAAATGCCATTTTTTAATCTATTCAGATTTGGTCAAAACAAGAGTAGAAATAATTCTTAAGTTACATTGAAGAGATAAAAGAAACCGTTTTGACTATAAAAAAACAGCGTTTTTCAAAGTCTAAAAGATCGCATTTTTTCAAAGGGGTTAACCCATGCTTTTGGGCTAAAAATGCCAATTTTTTCTTAATTTGAATTTCATCAAAATAAGCCTAGAAATGATGCTTTCTAACTTTGCAGAGAAAAAAGAAACCTTTTTTGACCTTAAAAAAACCCGCACTTTTTCAAAGGGGCCATTTTTTTAATCTATTCAGATTTGGTTAAAATAAGAGTAGAAATAATGCTTAAGTTACATTGAAGAGAGAAAAGCAACCGTTTTGACTATAAAAAAACAGAATTTTTTATGTCTTTGGTCAAAAAATGCCATTTTTTTCTCTACTTAGATTTGGTCAAAATAAGACTAGAAATAATACTTTCTGACTTTGCAGAGAAAAAAGAAAACTTTTTTTGGCCTTAAAAAACAGAATTTTTGAAAGTCCAAAAAATCGCATTTTTTCAAAGGGTTAACTCATGCTTTTAACCAAAAAATGCCAATTTTTTTTCTTTATCTACAATTGATCAAAATAAGACTAGAAATAATGCTTAGTGACTTTACAGAGAAAAAGAAAGCTTTTTTCACTTTAAAAACAGAGTTTTTTCCAAGTCCAAAAAAACGCGTTTTTCCAAAGGGGTTAACCTATGATTTAGTCAAAAAATGCCAATTTTTCCTATCTTTAGATTTGGTTAAAATAAGACTAGAAATAATGCTTAATGACTTTGCACAGAAAAAAGAAACCTTTTTTGGTTATAAGAAACAGAATTTTTCGAAGTCCAAAAAATTCGCTTTTCCAAAGGGGTTAGCCCATGCTTTTGGTCAAAAAATGCCATTTTCTTCTCTATTAACATTTGGTCAAAATAAGACTAAAAAAAAGCTTAATTACTTTAAAGAAAAAAAAAGAAAGCCTTTTTGACTGTAACAAAAAGAATTTTTCAAAGTCCAAAAAATCGCATTTTTTTCAAAGGGGTTAACCGATGCTTTTGGCCAAAAAATGCCCTTTTTTCTTTATTTAGATTTGATTAAAATGAGACTAGAAATAATACTTTCTGACTTTGCAGGGAAAAAAGAAACCTTTTCTGGCATTACAAAAAAAAGAATTTTTCAAAGTCCAAAAAATTGCACTTTTCCAAAGGCGTTAACCCATGCTTTTGGTCAAAAAATGCCATTTTTTTCTCTATATAAATTTGATTAAAATAAGCCTAGAATAATGCTTTCTTACTTTGCAATGAAAAAAAAAACCTTTCTTGACTATAAAAACTGAATTTTTCAAAGTCCAAAAAATCACATTTTTTTCAAAGGGGTTAACCCATGTTTTTGGCCAAAAAATGCCAATTTTTTCTTTATTTAAATTTGGTCAAAATAAGACTAGAAATATTGCTTAGCGACTTTGCAGAGGAAAGAAACCTGTTTTGACCTGTTTTTTGTTTTTACTGTAACAAAAAAAAAAGAATTTTTAAAGTCCAAATAATCGTATTTTTTTTCCAAAGAGTTGATCAAAAAATGCCAAATTCTTTTTTATTTAGATTTGGTCAAAATAAGACTAGAAATAATGCTTAGCGACTTTGCAGAGAAAAAAAAAACTGTTTTGACCATAAAAACAGAATTTTTAAAGTCCAAAAAATCCCCCTTACCAAAAGGGTTAACCCATGCTTTTGGTCAAAAACATGCCATTTTTTTCTCTACTTAGATTTGGTCAAAATAAGACTACAAATAATGCTTAATTACCTTGAAGAAAATAAAAGAAACCTTTTTTGACTATAAAAAAAAAACAGAATTTTTTAAAGTCCATAAAATTGCATTTTTTTTGAAGGGGTTAATCCATGCCTTCGGTCAAAAAATGCCACGTTTTTCATAATTTAAATCTGATCAAAATAAGCCTAGAAATAATGCTTTCTGACTTTGCAGAGAAAAAGGAAACCTTTTTTGATCTTAAAAAACATAATTTTTTTAACAAAAAAAAAGTCTAAACCATTGCACTTTTCCAAAGGGGATAACCCATGCTTTTGGTCAAAAAATGCCAATTTTTTGGTTATTTAGATTTGGTCAAAATGTAGTATCAGCTTTATTCGCAATTTAAGTGCTCTTATCTGAGGACTTCAGGCTATATGACCAGGAAATATACTCTGTACACCATCGAAAACGTCCTCATAGCTGCTCTACAGAAGGTAGTTTCCACAAAAAGTTCTGTAAAACGAATACTTGTTTGGATTCTCTG